AATAGTTGTCTATGTGGCATAATCCCCCCCCCCCCCACCATACTGTGTCCATACCCCCTATTTACAAGCTAGTCGGATCAAACGTGGCAAACGTTAGGTATGACGAGCGAATGTCCAAACGGGATTTGTTTTCGAGTACGAATCCCCTAGGTGTAGCTTTAGAAGTAAGTTTTAATAACAGAGAAACTTGATGGACTAATTGGGGCTTTTATAAATCATGTGGGGACCCTTGAATCCCGAAACGGGTTACTTATGCTAGTCTTTTTGATAATTAAAAATGTTCAAAAAATGTCAAAATAAGCAAGTGTTAGACAAAAATAGTTCAACAGAACTTTAAAGAAAACAAGGATTTATCTTCATTTCAGTGGCTATTTTATGAATTGTCAGTTCTTAAATTTCTAGTAATTCAGCCAAATCAGTTTTTATTAAATGCTTCTCATAGCACAAATTTAGCTACCAAAGAAAAAAAAAACGAATCTGTAGTTATGTAAAATGACGTTACAGTCACTTTGTCTATAAATAATCACGAGCTATTAACTTAGTTGCATCATCGTAAGTTACAGTTACTGAAATATTTCGTTTGATAACACGTGAACTTTTAGTGTTTCCTTTGGAATATAACATTAATTTTTCTCTTACAAATTTTCAAGTAATTTTAATGAACAAGTTTTGGTATAACTATATTTTTCATGAAAGAGCTTCCAATATACCAAAATCGTAAACAATAAAATAACATTTTTGGGTGATTAATGGCAGATCAAAATGGTCCAAATGGCCTTATGTCATGTATTTTATGTTATTAGTAATATTCCAGACGCAGATTATTTTCAGGTACTATTGTTTTAGACATTCAGGTGTGTGGGCTAACAACAACAATTACACTAATTTCTTTTCATAGAAACTATTACAGATTTAACCGATAAGTTTAATGATAAAAAAAAAATTTCATTGCTACTCCACTTGAAATACAGAAGTTTGCACATTTATTTTAGTTGCAGGAAAGTATTGATTTGTCATATTTGCAGATCAAATTAATTTTAATTTCTTGTCTATGGTATTTAAGAGATGTGGTTTAGGACAAACTACAAATTTGAGATGTATATATATATATATATATTCTTTTGATTGTAGCGTGCCCTGTTTATTGCACGTTTTAAAATTGTTATTCCCTTTTTAAGCCCCACTAGTGATACACCGGTAAATCTGACGGCTTATAACGCTAAAAACCGGGTTTCGATACCAGTGGTGGGCACAGCACAGATAATTTATTGTATAGCTTTGTGCTTAACAACAAACAAACAAAAAACCCTTTCTGAAAGATTCCGAGTTATATAAGAACATTACATCAGTGTCCTTCTCCGTGTATGTTAGAAACTTAGAAAAAAAATTACAGCATTAAAAAAAAATCAGATCGTACAATGTTACTACTACGAGTTCATTGAATCAAGTTAAGGTCAATATTATTTACTTTCGCACCAAGTTTAATTTAAATCTTAGAAACTTAAGTTAAAACCTAAGGCTAAGTTCAGTAGAGAATATGAAATACAACACAAAACTCACAGATTGCTTAAATAATGGGACAAAGGTTCCACGGAAAACTTTGTTGGGCAATAAATTTTGAATTTACAGATAACTAATATAATGTTGCATTTGTTTAACAATTAGACCACAGTGCCTTACCAGTCACATTTCATCATGAATCAATACATCAAGATCTAATGTCATAATGAAGGGCTTGAAATTTGCCACTGAGTAATTTTACTGATTCTGTAAGAATGTATGACACGCCCTCTTATTATCGTAGAAACTTTCTTGACCTGCTAATATTTGTAAGTATTTACATATTAACGTTTATGATGTATTTATGGTCCTTAGTACCTTGAAATATCACAATTGTTTACAGATCATCGATATCCTCTGGTAAAGATCATCACAGTTTTCACTTTGTTTTCCATTCAAGCATCTCATTGATAATAAATTTGATATTAATATTATAGATACACTTATTGTCATGACGACTGGGCGTGTCATACTTTGATTGGATGATTTATTAAGACCACACTTAGTACAGAGTTGGAGTACTTTTCGTAGATTAGTGTTGCCTAGATTCGGATTAGTATCGATTTCACAAGATGTGGGAAATTTTCTTATTCAAGAAGTTTGGTCTGCAATTGATTCACAGACATTGAAGAATGCGACTTTGAACTTCATCTAAAAAATTTCCATTTAAACTGGGATCCGATATTGTGGTTGACAAAAAAAAAGATGACTGAATTCAATGTTATACTTTTTGAAGCAATGTTGTTTCATCACCTTGGAAGGCACCTTGTCCATCAGAATAGAAAGTCAACATTGTAAGGTGATCACTATTAGTAATAACAATCAGGTACAATCTGGATATTATTCCTGTTACTATAACCCCACACCCTTACACCATTTCCATCAGCTTGCACAACCGAAACAATATAAGCAGGGTTAAGTGTCTCATTGCTTTCTCCATATATTTACTCTACTACCAGTACAAAAAAAATGTGAAATGCGACTCATCAAATCACACAACATGCTTCCAGTCATTTACTGTCTATAGTTTATGATAAAACACTATTTAGGAGGTGTTAACGTACTTAATTTTGTTTGCGGACTGAGTTTCAGCTGCCATATGACAATTTTTGTTATGCCTTTAATATTTTATAGTTGTAGATAATTGTACCCTGACCACTGTTGAGGAAAATGGATAAATGAAACATAATGTGAAATGCCTTTTGCACTTTACAATTCTGCACAACCATCTTTTATTTCGATCAGTCCCCAGAAGTGGCCTTAGTTTCTCCAGTAGTTGTATATGTATTCCTTTTTATTGCTATTGTTGATAGGCTCTAGTGACAGATGTCTTTAAACAATCAGGCAAAAAAAAAATGGTATTTTAAAATGATTATTTAGCTAGATACGCATCCACTATCATGTTCCCCTTAAAGTTGTAGAGATCCTTGCTCTTACTCATTATCTTGTAAACTAACTACGATATGAGTACGTCACAGAATTCACAGGGCTCAGACAATAACCTGACACATCACATTACATGATTAGTTTATTTGCAAATGCAAATAAATGGAGCATTCTATAAGTGTGTGTGTGTGGAGATCCTCATAAAATGGGTAGTCATTGTACATTTTGACACTGGATTAGCAAGATTCAACGTGAAGTTATGAGCTATTTAGTCGTTCATAGACAAACTTTGAGGTATATGTACAGGTCCAAATGTTAAAGGTAAGTCAATAATTGTGACACATGCAGCTAGTCTATGTCAGTCTGTCAGTATATGTTGTCAACAAACTTTAAAAGCCTCCTCTAATGTCTATTTATAGAATATTTAAATAGGAGTCATTAAGCTCACTTTATGCACAGCTTTTACCACCAGGGAGCGTTACACCCTCCACGTTCCCACCATGCCCTGATATCTGGATACACTTTCCTGAATATATCCTGGTTGTTCATTCTCTCACAAAGTTCACATAAATAGCTGTGTTCGATAGCAGTAGGTGGGACTACGTCATATTCTTCCTTCCATTTAAAATACTGACTGTAAAGCGAATAATTTCTATCCAAAACACTAAGGAAATCGGCCAAGTCCTTGGGCGATTTGAAGTCACGCACGTCAATATAAGATCCAGTTGGAGCCACTGAGGAATAATCTCCACCACCTAATACAACTGGCACAACGTACTTTGACAGGGGGGCAAAGAACTTTTCACTTATATAGTCCCTACAGATCTTATTTTCGAACGCTAAGTAGAATTTATAATGCTCTTCTAACCAGTTATAGCATTGTGAGCTCACTTTAGGAAGACACTGAGAGTTGGAAAAATTACAGGGGCCCACAATATCTACAGAAACATACTGTCGTAGCCTTAACACATACTCTTCACGACGAGATTTAGTCTGGCAGTGCGAAACGAACCATGCCACTAAGCGGTCTTTTCCGCCACCTAATGGGACGCTGTTTTCCTGGAACTGTTTTAGACGTGATTTTCTTTTAATTTGTCCGTAACCCTTATACACAATATCCGAGTCTCTACGATATGTAATTGTCCAGTTTATAGAATTTAGATATTTTATTCCCCAAAGACGATTTCGTCGTGGATAGAAAGGGCCATCTTTTGCCCAAAACACCCATACTTGTTCAGAACGCCGCCTGTTGGTTGTTGGAGGAAGTTGTAATTCAGGATACGGTATTAATACAGCATCACTATCGCTTACACTTGCTTTATCATCTTTCAAAACGCAATTTTTATATTCACAAGAACTAAAATTCCCTCTGTCATAAAATAGATCCAACCGAAGCGATTTTTTAAAAAGTCTAAATTCCAATTTTGATATCCAAACAGAGATGATATAACGTTTAGAATCAGAAGGTAAATGTTTCAATTGAATATCATCCTTTTTCGTCGATGAAAATAAATTAGATTTCACCGACAACTTTTCCAAATGATCATTAAATAAAACAACTGATAACAAAGTGATACACAACAACACAGAGAGAATCGTAAAGTGTCTGTTCAGCTTAATAGTTTTCATTTCTAATCAGTTACTTAGAAAGGAACCCAAGTTTAGTGAACAAAATATAAACGACTCGTCGATAGAGACACAAGAAAAATGTAGACTAGACTTCTTTGTCCATTCGTTCACTAAATATTGACATATAGTAGATGGTTTGTGTGTATACCTAGCACGTGCTTAACTCTAGTAACATATACCTAAAACGTTAGATCATCACCACCTGTTACTCACGGGCTATTATTAGTAGGTAACACAACAGAAGGTCACGTGACAAATGTACACTTATTATGTGTGTTGTTAAACACAAAGCATCACAAATGGTTATCTGTGCTGTGCCCACCACGGGTATCGAAATCCAGTTTTTAGCGTTATAAGCCTTCAGACATATCGCTGAACCACTGTAGGCGTACACTTATTAAGTAATTTGTTCATATCTGGATATAAGTATCTTAAATAAAGCTTAAAGACCTCTACTTTTTTACATTTTATTAATTTTTTTAATTCCGAAAACCCACTTTGTTAATTTGTATCTAATAAAATACAATAAATTAATTTTCACAAGTTAAAAGAGAAATATTTAAATAAAGTAAATTAATCAGTTCAATTATGAAAATTGGATTGCTGGTGACTCTGGAGGAAACGTTCTTTTGTTTGTTTGTAATTGAGCACAAAGCTACACAATGGGGTATCTGTGCTCTGCCCACCACGGGTATCGAAACCCGGATTC